CCCCTCACCACGTACAGGAATCCACGTCGAGTGGCAACACATTAGTATTGTTACGACAGCGGAAGTCACGTGGCGCTAGTAACACGTCACGAGCTTCTAGAAAACTCATGTCCCTTTGTGAAGCCTCGAGTTTACTAGATGTGCGGTATTCTTGTATATAAGACCGCCAAGAAGTGACGGCAACAATGGAATTGAATTGCAGACAGAGATAGAAACGACAATTGAGTCAAGCGCGTGAATTGTTTGTTCATTGTGAATTATAGCATTTGTTTAAGTTATAGCGTGACTGTGGAAATTAAGTATATTGCAAAGTTTTATTGAGAAAGAATAAACTAGTTTTATTTAAGAAAGGACTTGTATTGCTAAAATTTCTTCGGAAAGAATATTTACGAAAAATTAACAAACGAACAGAGACGTAACAGTATTTAACTGAAAAATCCAGAAAAAAAAATTATTCATTTGGATTAATAAGTTTTTCAAAGATGCCTAGATAAATCTTAAATGTTTAGAACATCATAACTTTGGGGATATAGTTGGAATTTACTGAACAGAAGGATATTTATAAACTTTAGGCTTAGATAAGTTGGTTCTCTGTAAAATGTTTGTCTACAAAACCATATTTAATCTTTTATAAACTTTAGGCTTACATAAGTTGGTTCTCCGTAAAATGTTTGTCTACAAAACCATATTTAATCTTTTATAAACTTTAGGCTTACATAGTTTGTTCTCTGTAGAATGTTTGTCTACAAAACCATATTTAATCTTTTATAAACTTTAGGCTTACATAAGTTGGTTCTCTGTAAAATGTTTTATTCAAACACATAAAATTAACTTACTTTGTCTTTGTCTATTTTATCCACGATTATTCCAAGCCTTTGTTTACTTTCTTCTGGTGTAAGATCTTCAAAGGTTTTAGCTTCATCTTCACCAAGAAAAGCTTCATGATCGTAATCCATGTTATGTTCACTGTCATCACTGTAGTGCTGCTCATCACTCAGAGGCTGTGAAAGATTATTCAATCTAATCAAAATATCTCTTACTTAGAAATTTGGTAACAGAGCAATATATCCAGCCTTATGTCATAAAAATTACAACTTTTTTTAGCAAAGAAAAATATGCTTATGAAACATATCAAAATGTGGACAACAATGGATCACCAAGTACTTCAAAAATACAAATAAGCTATTGACCTACTGACTAATACACTGTCAAATGCCTGGCAAAAATTAAAGTGAAATTTGGAAGCCTACATTTATCTTCCTAATGGATATTATGATGAATAATTGAAACCATTCAAGAAAAACAGGATTTCATTGATACTTAACAGAATCAAGATAGTTTTATTTAAATTGTGCAGTATCTCAGTGCAAGCAACTATATCTTTCAGTCAGGGTGGTCTAATTATCATTAGATACCAAGTTGTGAAATTCCAGCTGCTAACAATGAAAATAACATTAAAAAACATTGCTATTGAATTTAATAACTTGTACCTATAACATTTATATTACTGGAAAGTCAAGGATGTTTATTGTAATGATAATGTTCCAAGTGCAGGATTAAGTGTTACAACTGCAGCTATTACTTGTTTTCTTTCAAGGTTATAGAAATAATAGCTATTGTTGTAATAACCAATACGCATGAGATTACTTTTATGGTTTAAAAAACATTTGCAGAGCATTAGCTCTGCACAACAAATAGTCAAAATCATTCTTCCAGATTAGACATTTTCAAGATGACTTGAAATTCTGATTAATTTAAATGTTTTCACTGAAGTTTACCAACTTATTGCTTATTCCATTATCAAAGTCAATCTGGGGAAATTTCAGGTGAAGTCAATGAGGAAAATGATCTGGACATTGCTATTACAAGATGCTTAAAGCCTTCAAGAAGATGTTATGTCAGATACTAATGAGACAAAGGAAATTATTGGCCTATATGAGGGGTTGCATTAGTACATGAAAATAATCAATGATCAAACATATGAAGTTAATGAAGGCAAAAAAAAGTCTATATGAGAATGTAACGTTTTGTTCTGTAAATGACAACTAATAACATGGAATTACTTTGCCTTGCACTGAACAAAGATTATCTTCTAGTTACCTTATCCATGACTCTCTTTTTTTCATCTTGTGGTTTCGGAATGGCTGAGCCAACAGCCATCAGCAAAATGCATATAAAAACAAAGTTCTGGGTAAAAAAAGTATCCATTATCTTCTACTGATGATGCTTAAATTCACAGCAGTCAAAACTACAATGAGAAAATTAAAAAAATTAACTAAATAGTAAATGCACAGACATAAAATACCATTAAGTTTTAATATGAGAGTTTTAATGTAAACTAGTAAGGTGACAGAAGATTAATAGGTCATTAACAAAAACAAGCGTCAGTCTAAAAGTAGCCACTATTTATAGAGTGGATATTATTATATTCTACAATTCTAATGACTTACAAATGTGGCACCATTTATATCAAAGTAGGAGGGGCTTAATTAAAAGAACAATAAGACAAAAAAAGGCCATTTGGCTCATTAAAATTACTCCTTGTCTATCAAAACCAAGTTAACAGTTGCAGGGTTAGCCTCAGGTGCTTGGAGAGGACCACAATTACATAAGGTATTTTTGACTTACATTTTTATTTCTTCATATTTGGGTCTTAGTCTTTTTAATTATATACTTTTGACTATATTTACCATTGATATTGTATAAGGAATTACGTTTAATACTTACTAGCCAATCTCCAGGCAATAGCAATGTTTGTCCATTAACAGAGAGGCCAGGTTTATTTTAGTTAGTTCTTAAATATTTGTCACACTGATAAGATATAAATTATTTGATCAGTACATTACGAAAACTGACTAGTTATACTCCTTATAGCTGGTAACAAAATATGAGTTGTTAAAACAAATTTGAACAATAACTTTATGTATTCTTGGACTGATTTTGATTGAACAATAATCTTCACATATTCCTCCAACTGAAAACAACCTTTATGTATTCTGAATGATAATATCCATTACATATTCTTATGACTGACAATAACCTTTACATATTCTTATGATCTAACCTATATAAAAGTCAGTGTGCATCGTGTCACGTCCCACTTGATTTCTTGAAATAGGAAGAACCATAAAAGCCAAAATACATTTATCCAGATAGAATAGTTCCATTTCTGTCTATGAAGGTGCAAGGGGGGCCGTGAAACCTTATGAGTGTAGTGAGTGTTGATATAATAAGCCTAAAGTAAATATGTGGTGTGGGATCACCTAGCCTAGAGCCAAGGACATAAAATTTATCATGAAAGTAAAAATATCCATTCAGTTTTAAATTTAAATCATTTCTGAATTAAGCTATTGTCTGTTATATCACCAACGTTTTCAATAAAAACAGTCTTTAATCAAGGGAAACTCTAAATTAAGAACACAACAAATATTTTTCCAGTTTTGTTGTCTAAACATTTCATTTTCTACTCTCAATACAGACTAACAATAATATTAGGTTATACTTTTATTGCTAAGCAACAATGACATAAAAGCAATTGTTACCAAAATGCACTATATATTAGAAGTTGTTAATCAAACTGATTTTTAACAATAATCATTCTATGAATGATCTTAATTTTGATTGGCTCAGAAAGGAATTTACTGACAATTGACTGTCAACTGCACATTTCTGCTTCTTTGTTGGTGAAGCTTGATTTAGCAAAATTTATAGGGTGGGGGTGGTAGTACTTGCCCTGTCATTTCTAACTGGCTATACACTAGTTAAGAATAATCTTTATGTATTCTTATGATTGAGAAATAACGTTTATGCCTTCTTATAAGTTGCAAGACCAACTTCAGTTTGTTGGTTCTGTATTTATCAAACTACAAATGAAGTGTAGTGTTATGAAGTCCACTTAACAATACTTGTTTGCTGCATGTTTTTTGGACTGGTAATGCAATGCAAACTATATTTGTAGTGTAGTGTCATGGGTTCTGTTTAAAGAAGCTTGTTTGTTGCACACTTTTTGGGTGAGCACTAGAAAAAACATTAAAGACACGTATACAATCTGAAGTATTAAATAATAATGATTTTATTTTAATCTTGAAAAACTTTTCTTTTAGAATCAAGAAAATCATCAAAAGAAATTTGAATCAACAATCTGCCTTCAATCAAAATAATATTAAACCACTTTTAAATTCACTACATTTTCCTTTCTTTTATTTTTTTAAACTTACATTTTGAATGCTGGTCATGATTTGCAGTCTTAGTAGGATTTTCACACCCACTCACATATGCATTGCTTTTTCTTGTGTCTTTACTAACTGAGCATTCCAACAGAAATTATTCTGATTCAAAACTAATGTTTCACCAGCCTTTTGTTTCTGGCCAGAATTTGATTCAGATTTTTTGAAAGGTTTTTATTCCCAACCAATTGTTAGACATTCTGAATGAATGAATAATACCATTATGGATAGCAGTATACAAGTCTGATTTAACAACATGCTTAAAATACAATTTTAAATGATACTACTTTATGGTATGTACCTTACGTAATTAACAATTACCTCCTACGACAAACAGTTCGATACAAAATATAGCAATCTGTATGCTGAAAAAGATGCACAACACCTTTTCCAACCATCGCTTACACCATTCTGTAATTTACTGATAATAATTAATTCAGTTAACAGAATATACTTTCAACTTCATTTTCTTTGTTTTAACACAAAATTTCAATAACAAATGATGCACCTAATTAATATTGCACAAACTCTTGGTGAGGAAATGGGATTGAGAGAACAGACTCACTCATGCCTACATTATGCATGCTGAGTTTGGGAGAATATGGATAAGTATGTAGTGTCTCAGTGATATAATTAGCTTATGTCAAGCTTAGAAACTAAGTGCATGATGGTACTGTTTGTTATCTTCAACCCCGATTGAGAAGCTACTCGAATGTTACCATGGGGTAGAATAAAAAGCAAAGTTGGAACTTTGACGGTGAAGTTGGAAAGTACTTTGTCAGGTTGCATGACCTCTGACCTGACATACACAGTTTCCATATATCCCCAACCTTGTAAAGAGGCCAATGTAAGCTATAATATAACATAACAGTGTTTTGGGACAACATGGGATCTATTGGTCCATCTCGACTGTTCCATCCTCTAACTAAACTAAAACTATCATTAAAAAAAATCTTAAAGTCAGCCTTTATCATTCATATACTTATCAAACTCTTTCTCTTAAGTTCACATAAATTTACAACCACGTCCGAAGGCAACCCATTCCAAAGAAAAATAATACTGTCTTAACTGAAGATGACTCCTACCTTGGCAAAATTTATGTCTCCTAGTCCTACTATTCTCACTGTTAATATGTTGATTAAGTTTGAGTATTTTTGTTTTTCCTCTTACAGCACTCAAGGTAACAAACTGATGATTAAAAAAAAGGTGTGAAACAGTCATTTCATATACAAGATACATAGTACATAGGTGGCCCGGCATGGCCAGGTAGTTAGGGCACTCGACTCACAATCTGCGGATTGCGGGTTCGAATCCCTGTCACACTGAAACATGCTCATCCACTGTCCAAACTAGGATGCCAGTCCTACTCCCAGATACTCACCTCCAACAGAATTTGGAGGTGTGAAGAACACCATACGAAACAAAAAAAAAGTACATAGGTAGGATTAATTGCAATAACAATTGTATTTCTGTTCACATTTTTGTGCGTCTCATGTTATTACAGATGCTCAGTAGCAGCTTGAAAAGTCATCCAAAACTTCCTAGAGACATGTCTGTTAAGAATGCCTTTCAAGTATACTTTCCTATATCTAAAACTTCTCTCAAGCAAGAAATTTGGTCATATACTAATTAAATGCCTTGAGAAGTATCTCTACATTAGAAAGGAGAGAAAAATATATATCTATTCTATGATAGACACAAGGAGTAAAAGGAAAATATTTTTTTTGGAACACATGGCCCTGATAAGGGGTAAAATGAAAATGCTCTTTGGAACATAAATCTCAGCTCTGATAAGGGGTAAAATGAAAATGCTCTTTGGAACATGTCTTTGATTCAGTGTATCTTTTTTCCATTAAAATGTACTAAAGCACTTGAAAACAAAATATGATTAAAATTTACCAAATACAGACTATTTTACAAGTAACTTAAACATGATATTAAACAAAAGACTAGTAGTGACTTAAGGTACTCAAACTGTTAATGACTAACTCGTCATGGGAAAATGAGTTGAATGTTGTATTAGTAAGTTTGAAAACTGGAAAGTTAATATTAGCAATATTATTCCTGGTGATGATAGTAGTAATTTTAAATATTGTTACATATGAATGCATATGCTACAGGTTTATTTTGTTTGGAATTGCTGCACATCTTTGGTTGAAGGAGAGGTAAATTCAATAGCTCAAACTGCCTTCTGGAATTTTGCTTGTTGTCAAATTTCAAAACAGAAAGCTATTGTTACAAAACTTGATTAAACAATTAGACTTTGATGTTAGTACCTGGTAGCTCTAGTAATTAATCTAATAAGTATGTACTCTATGGTCTAATAAATTCTTAATCAGCTTAGTGTTTACTATTTGTAATGACTCTGTAAACATGTGTGATATGCCCTCTCATGATTTTGCCAGATTATGCGAGTTATGATATATTTGACTGACAGTTCTTGTGCATGGACTTAATAAAATCAGTTGACAACTCAAACATTTCCAAATGCACAATAATTTACTGGAAAAAGTTAAAAGCAAATATACAATTAAAAACTCTACATGTTTCAGTGGAAAATCATTGTGCATTTTAAAACACTGGAGTTATCAACTGATTTTATGCAAATTTGTTAATCTTTAATATTTTAATACTTACTGTGCCCTAAAATGTAAAACGTTTATTTCATAATTACTTATGGTATTGGGTTTTAACAGTTACTTGAATTAGTTATGATTTATTTCCTCTATAGTATTAGTATAAAAATTACTGGAAGTTTTACACTGTATTCCAGTTAAACATCATACATACAATAAATTTATTAGTACTAATCTAATTTGATAACACGTTTACAACTATGGGGCATGTCATACATTTTCGAACATTTAATGATGGTGTTGAAAAGAAATTTCAAGAATTTCACCTATTCTACTTTTAGAATACACTAGTCTGATATTTGGACTATATTATTACTGTTAGTGTTATTTACTAATACTAGTAATAGTATACAACTATACATTAATAACGTCAAACTCATGGTGTATTTATCATGTATGAAACTTTTAATTTTTAACTTATAAACTAAATATTAAATTATTATTGAATTGTGAATATGCATTTCAAAAGTGATAAAATAATTCTCATACTTATGATCAATTAATAAGCCTAATAAATTATAATATTAATAATTTCATGTGACAGAAATAACTCACCATAACAATAGTCGAACACTTTTAAGAAAATAATTTATAAATAAGATAAAACTGAAAGTAATCCTACAACTAAACTACGGTCAACGTAAGTCGATACGAGAATCCAACATTATTAATTCCACATTCACTCAGTCCGAGTTATGTCTGATAAGTACTTAAGTAGGACAAATTTCATGCCTATTCAGTTTAAAGTTAAACTCTCACCCTCAGGCAACAGAGAGTACAATTTTACCTGAGTCTTCAGTTTCTTGAAAAGTGCAACGAATGATACTGATCTTTGAATAAATGTTTAGACCTTTTAGCTTTCTTGTTAGCGTTCCTCTTCCATCACTCGCGAAAACACTAGACGTGGAACATCCTTGCCACATTTACACAGCCTACACTACTCTTCCACGCGTTCATTTCCAACTCACAAAGCGTGGGTGATTTTCGATTTTGTCCAATCACAATCTAGACACGTGCTTGTGAAAATCATTTTTGTACTTGAATAAGCAAAAATACCAATTTGACATAGTTTCTAAAGAAAGATTTAACAAAAATTATGGGGCTATCTAAGTTATTTAAGCACTTCTATAAAGTACAGTCAATCCGTCAATCAAACTTAAGAGCTTTGATCTCATTTAGCATGTTATGAGTTTGTTTGTCGTTAATTAAACTATTTTACTTTTCTAACAGGGTGGTCGGCCTTTGGAACGAGTTGCCTTCAAAAGTTGTGGATGCAATAGATTTACGAGAAGCCAATGTGGTGTCCCTCAGTAAATCTTCCGATTTACAACGCTAAAATCAGGGATTCGATTCCCCTCGGTGGACACAGTAGATAGGCCGATGTGGCTTTGCTATACGAAAATGGTATGGTATTGTTACGACAGTGGGGGTCACGGGACGAGTATTCTAGAAGATTCGCTAGCGTGTTACGACAGCTGGAGTCACGTGACGAGTATTCTAGAAGATTCGCTAGCGTGT